TTTACATGTCTGTGGTAATGTATTCTTCACAAATACAAAAAGAGCCTTTCCAGGAGCCAAATGGAGCCTCCCGCTCAGTATGTGAATAAATTGGCCAACAGACATGTCACGGGGCACCAAGAATCTGTTGACAAACATTCACAAACAGATACACGTAAAATCTCTACAATTCCTCTCAAAGGAAAAAAGATGAAGAAAACTTATACAGAAGTAAATTAATCTAATTTCGAGACAGAATTAAGAAGCTGATTGTTAATCAACATTAGATGTCCTCTGCAAAAGTAATTCAATAAAAAGATACAATATAAGCTAAGAAGTGAAGGTAACATGTTCTGGCTGCCTAAGTCCTAACCCCTAATCCCTGTAAAAGAAGGAGCTTTTTAAAATAATCTCACAGGAAAGACTCGTAGACTGTCGGTGATTTCAGTTTTTAAGACAGGTGAAATTCCATTGCAATTTGCAACCAAATGCAAGCAAGACAAAAATGAACTCACTTCTTCTTCTCCATCTCTGGAAGGTCAGATTTTGTATACCTCTCAGCTACAACCTACAATTGTCACCAAATAAATTTTATCATGCCAACACTATCCTGAAGATTTGTATTAACTGGGTATTTGGTATTAGCATTTAGAGACATAAAAAAGTTATAAATTTCTATTTACTTTTCGAGAACACTTGTGCAATCGACAAAGATCATAGCAACTTCTGAAAAAAATTGAGATATTATTTTCCTCCCTTATATATAAATCATGTATGCAATTTTGAGATTCCTTCTAACTCATATCCAGTGAAAGAACCCTATATATATCTCCAACACAACTAACTTCTTGACAAAATTCTTCCAAATCTCTTACTCCGCCTAAAACACACCCAAGGACAGCCTCTAAAACACATAAAATGGTCTTCATGCTAACCCAATATACCACCATCCAAACCATATATATCCCTAGCCACACCAAAATCATGAAAACAGACTGAACTAACGTATACGAGATAAAATTACCTACATAATAATATCAAAGTGAAGAAACCCAATCTGCTTTTCCTTCTCAAAAAGCTCTAGGAGATTGAGAAATGGAAGACAAATGAGACTATTTCGATAAGTATATAATTAAGACTTCGCTCATCAAACTTCTTCCACTTCTCTTCTTGTTCTACAGCGCACTTGGCCTTTCTTTTCTTCCTTTATTTCCTTTTCCTATTTATATTACCAAACCATCTATAAGTTTTAAGCTTCATCAAAGCTCAAATACATTCTTCGGCCCAAAAAACGAAATAACAAAAAAGGGTGCGATTGAACTCGTAAAAACAACACTGCCGGCATATTATAAAGCTAGGTGAACTAAGATGCCATAAACAATAGACAGCTTACAATTTTGGGAGGAATTGACTAGCAAAGTTAAAAATAGATTAGGAAAACGACTTACAGGGACTCGATCGGGGTATTTGGCGATGATATCTTGCGATTCTAGCTGCCTTTCCTCTGTGATAAAGAATTTGAACCGACTGTTCATTACCTAAAAACGAAACGAAGAAAACAAAAAAAAAAAA